CACTCAGTTGGTACTTGTTATATCCCCTCCATCTCCTCAATCAGTTCGGTGGTGATGTGTTTAGCTCCTGTTTACATCGTGAACAGTTAACAATTAAAGTTTAAGATAATGTTATAACGCTAGGCACGTTGAGCACGACAACGAAATTTTCGATTGAATGTGAGTCATGTGCATATCTCCCGCTGGACCTTTTGGTTCATGATTGTTTTGTATTTTCCCCCCTCTTGCGAGTCTTTGGGAAATGCCCCCCCNGCCCCCCCCCCCCCTTCCACGAAAACCTATTGTCCCAAGTGTTTCTCACGTGTGCATTGAGAGCGTTTATGTGGGCCGTTTTTAGGAATTGTTTCTAAACTCCCAAGAGGACTTTGTTTGTGGCATTCGGACAACGCTGTTGGCACCAGAAACTCGGATCGTGGTACCCGAAATCAATCACCTACCATGTATTACAAATCGATGACAGCGGTGGGCTAAGTCCTGCACGTTGCAAAAGTCGATTTAGACTCCCGACTTCTCCCAGAGTGTCAGTGAAATCATCATTCTAACCATGGGATTTTCGTAATTGACAGTCAATAAGCGGTACAGTCCCAGAACCGTTGTTCGGTGAAGTGTGCTGTATTCATGTTTGGACACGCCCTTGTATAAGGATACCCTCAGTTTATTCTGAAAACACCATAGTGCAGGCGGGTCAAATGATTCATTTGTCATAGGCCTATTTCTCTCCGACCNCAGAGGTTGTATACCTCATGCTATCCAAATTGTACGAATATCATCTCAAGTTGTCTGGGGACCATTTCATGTTGTCTGAGCATCGTTTCGGATCGTCTCGTTGACCTCACCAGTGCTGACAGTTTCATGTACTGTTTAAGCCTCTCAGTGATATCTGCATGAACGCCATGCAGCACAGATTTCTCAACCTCTCGTTGAAACGCGGGTTTAACGAATGCGAGACGTGCCTCGGTCACACCCCAGTTCCCATGGCATACCCTTTCTCGTACGCGTAGGCGTCTGTCTGTCTGTCTATGTTTGTGTGTGTTTGTCCCCCTCCCCATAGGATTACGGTCCGCAGTCACGATCGAAACATTTCTTCCGTAAATGAGCTGCGCTGGATTGAGTAATTTGCTACCTCGCATGTAGAGATGGCACCAATAATACGCGTTTTGATAAACATTCGGATTTTTGGACTTGGAATTTCTGATAAAGTTCTGTAATTACCAGTATATTTATGGCATATTTCGACAGCCCTCCTTACGTAACTTCAATCACAGTTGGCTTGAGACAGATATGTCTCATTCCTTTCTGTGTAACTGACGGGTTGTTCATTTCGATTGTACAGTACGTGAAAGTGATTCTGTCGTGGCATCACAGAGTTGGAATGTAATCTACAAATATCGAACAAGCGATGTGAATAATGCGTGTATTGATCGAGCCTTTATAATCTGGTGTTCTGTTGCAACCGCTTGAGTTGCAGCTATTAGAACGTGTTGCAACGACATGCGATAGAGGTAAGCAATGGCTCAAGCTTTGATCGCTCATGACCCATTGGTGTCAGCAGAGCATGGTTTGATGTGAATTTTCAATGAAAGAGGGCCAAACATAAACAACAACAGACAGACAGACGCCTACGCGTACGAGAAAGGGTATGCCATGGGAACTGGGGTGTGACCGAGGCACGTCTCGCATTCGTTAAACCCGCGTTTCAACGAGAGGTTGAGAAATCTGTGCTGCATGGCGTTCATGCAGATATCACTGAGAGGCTTAAACAGTACATGAAACTGTCAGCACTGGTGAGGTCAACGAGACGATCCGAAACGATGCTCAGACAACATGAAATGGTCCCCAGACAACTTGAGATGATATTCGTNCAGCACTGGTGAGGTCAACGAGACGATCCGAAACGATGCTCAGACAACATGAAATGAATTGTGAATTGGGGGAGTTATAGTGGTGAAATCGAAAAAAAGGAAATATACAATATTTGGTAGTGGCTTGTGTCATAATCACAGTTACCGTTGGAAAATGGTCAGTATATCTAACTGTGTAGTTCGCTGACTCAATCTCACGCACCTAAATACGCATACGTTTTGAGGCAAATCTGAACCTTCTCGTATTGCCATTAACAATCAATCTTTTGTAGGGATGAGTAAGGAAAACTGAACAGTCTATTCTCTACCGCGCTCAGCTTTTCCAACTTGATTTATTTTTTTAAGCATCGATCGATAGCTGACCAAAAATGATANTCGTTAAACCCGCGTTTCAACGAGAGGTTGAGAAATCTGTGCTGCATGGCGTTCATGCAGATATCACTGAGAGGCTTAAACAGTACATGAAACTGTCAGCACTGGTGAGGTCAACGAGACGATCCGAAACGATGCTCAGACAACATGAAATGGTCCCCAGACAACTTGAGATGATATTCGTACAATTTGGATAGCATGAGGTATACAACCTCTGAGGAATTTACTATTGTCGATCCATCGGTACAATCAGACTCGGATTCCTTTGTAATGTAATAAATTTTATCGACAACAAGTGTGAGTCTCATAGATGGAACAATGGAAATTAATGATTCGTGAACACCACTCATGCCGCTGAATTTTGACCAGTATGCTATGTAATTTTTTCCATCTTTTTGCACTTGTCTTTTCAACTTTAGTCAGCACATCTCTGTTGCGTTTACGGTATGAAATTGAAAGTTCTCCCATGGAAGAGGCGATTGTAATCAGAAAACGTGAATAAAACGCGGTGACCGTCCAACCCCTATTCTTCATCACTCACAAATGTATTTCACGTGTGGCTCACAAGTGCGTCGGTGTGATCCACCCGACTAAGGCAAACGCCAGGTGCAGTGTATGCATATATATACATATATATATATATATATGAATTTTTACCTTCAGTTCACGTACGTGTTTATTGAAAATGACATCGTTGAAGACTTTTATATATTTAGGCGAATGGAATTTATATTAACCCCCAAAATTGCCTAGACAAAACTGGAACGGTTCATGCGGTTATTGATGGAGAATATTCAACTACCAGATGGATCGATCGAGTTACTAAAGAAAGACTTTGAGTCCTGTTTTAGGGCCGTTTGCTGAATCAAATTTAATTTATCAATTCGTCTGGGTTCTCTCAATTGCCTACACTTGTATTGAGCACCTCCTTACTCCCTCGTACGTCACTTGATTGAGGTGGGACAAAGGGCTGATAAGATAATTGCATTTAAAACCGTGGATTCAGCATTCAAGGAAAACAAAGTATACCTAAATCATAAAACGTTTGTTGCTTAATACTTTCAACCAGGCTTACGAAAACAGACGGAGGATTTTTAGTTTATTCTCCTGACCCCATCGGGGAACGAACTATTCAGAGACTGTCTGTTTCTGTTGACTTTTACCTTTATGTTTGTGTGCGCGTATTTCGTTTTATGTGGTATGCACCTGACGAGATCCACAGAAAATGTTCCCCCTCAAAAGTTTTGTGTGATAGCGTGTGTGCTCTCTCCTCAATGTTGCGAACCCCTCGGAAATTATCACGTCCACGGGCAATGGACCAGCAGCCCTGATGGGGGAAATCATTATTAGTCTCCTACCAAACCACACGTTATGTTTGTGAAACTAGCGAATGTCTACATGAAATAAACCCTGAAATCTGTCGCGCGATTTCATTTGTAACAGCAATTTAAACTTCGAAAAGCGTAAAGCCTACGTTTCCGTTAAACGTGTACACAGTAGAGAGGGAAAGAAAGAAGAAAAGAAGTTGAGTACTGAAACTTCTGCAAATGCCAGTTCGTTGTAAACCAGAATGCGTGAAAAAGAGGACACTATAGAGTTACGATACACATTAAGACGAGAGGAAACACAGCGATCTAATTGACGAATGGGAATGACAGGGATCTATGTAATGGATGCGTGGAATCAATGAGAATCTCTTACAGAAACGTTTCACATACATTCAAACAAACTTCACAAAGATTGGTTATCAAATCCTCCAGCGGTATTGAAGAGATACGGACAACGAGAAATCTACCTAACGGAGAACCTAGTGCTAGAGACTTGTCCTACCTGTGTATCGAGTAAGACTGTCATTGACCGCCAGTGTCAAAGTTCGCCGCCCGAACAGCGTCTAGGTGGTGGCTATTTGCAACCACACAAGTGAGCACCAGAAGATCGGATTGCTGTGCCAGAACGCAAACTTCTGTGTGTATGTGTGTGTTAAATTCCTGTCGATTTGGATTTTTCGCCAAGAAACTTTTCTGGTTTTGACACTTCGCTACCAACCCTTCATGACTTTCTTTGTAAACAGATACGTGTCCTTTAGCACCTACTCAGGCATGGATTGTTTTTATCTGCCCTCTGTAATCTTGTTTTCCTCAGTTCCCTCACCAGCAACCAAATAGTCCCTTTCTATTATCATTGTGCTGGCTTTATCAACATATTTTTCTCAAACCAGTGATACTAATTCCAGGTTTTCAAGCTCATTATGGTTGTTACTTTGTTTTTCACTTGATTTCGGCATGTGGAAAAATACATCCTATATGATCAAGGTCGACACACTTCTGGGGCGTGTCAGCTGTCTGTAGTAGAAAAGAAATATAGTTCAACAGAATAATTTGGACTAATAACTGGTCTTTTATCACAATTTATTTTTTTCTGTTAGGCAGCGATTTTGCAACAAAAGAAACCAAAATTGCCCCACTGATTAGACATTAGGATCAAGCCTGCTGACAACACAGGGGTAAAATTTCCAATTTTGTTATCCAACGTCTGTTGTTGGTCGCTGCGAGTTTTGCACTTAGTGCAGCCGATCTGTTTGCATGTGTGAATCAAATGGTTTCAGTCGATACAAGCTCCTCTGAAACAGTCAATAAACCGACCTATGTCTACTACTGTCTTCACGTGACCCTCCTGACTGGTCAATATTTAAGCGGTCGGGATTATTTGGTGTAGTAGATCGATGCCCCTGGAACAGGCCCACATAACACTGAATTGAACTTAGGCATGACTTGTGAGTCGGGAGAACGATGCCTAATACACAACAAAATGATCGAATGGGATCATTCAACTCGGCTGATCGAGCATCGTTTGCAAGCACTGTATGGCAAACCCGGTCGGTGTCAACTTTCCTGGTCGAACAAACCACGAAGACTCAGACGCAGTCGGCCTCGATTGAGAAAATTGGCTTGGTGTGTTTCACAACAGCTGAATGACGACCAGTCGCAAAGTAAAATAGCTTTGAATCGCCAAGCACAACACATGCGCACAGTCTCAGAATTATTGAACAGGTGGATTCCGGACACGTATGTGCTAAACAAATCGCTGAGTTTCGGAAATCAGAAATTTCGACCGAAAGATGTAAGTTTTTTTCTGAGACAAATGTATTACCTTGTATAGTTTGTTCAAACTATGTACATCCTATAATTTAAAATCAGAAGAATTACGATTTTCTAAAAGCATATTTCCTTATAGATATTTCAGTGAGAACATAAATGTTCAGAATATTGGGGCGCAGGTTAGAGCAAACACTAGACATTCCTGAATAAATTTCTGTACCCATAGCACCTTAGAATGAATGCGATCCTCCTACTCTACTACCCTTTTTATTCCCATTTGACATAACTCACATAACTGATCGGTCACTGCTATCATTTTTAGGCTCAGTTATAAAGGAATTTCCCAGATCTTACACAGGTGGAACCTCTTGTGTCGTCTGTAAAATTTGCTAAATACCTGGTTGTTCTGATATTTTGGGGCGCATGGACTCTAAACCCATTAGCGAGCGTTTTGCCCGTGCCACCTTCTTTTCGTTCTTATAAATGCAGATTTTTGTTTCAGCTTTATCCATACATAATTTTTCCGTCAGCATCTGAACAGTCCTTGTTAATATTATCTTTTTGATAAAAAGTAAACTAACAAGGATGTGACCTTCATTTGACTTGTTCAACCAATATTTGATACAAGGCGATTAGAAAACCTCTCTTCAGTGGAACTGGAATTGATTACTTGAGCCATCCAGAAAGTTCTTTTCACGTTGGCCTACAACCAGATCCAGATACCATTAATCGTAAGCTTTTTCACGAAAACCCGGTTCTTAGAAAATTCGTTTCATGAACTGAGGATGAATTGCTCGCCACGATGCGAAGTAATCAGTCTTTGAGGTCAGCCTAATCGACAATGGATCAGGCTTCGTAGGTAGTGACTTTCCTTTGTTTACTCTGCCTGCTTAAGCTCACAGCTGCTCTTGCTACTTGAATATTACTTTTTACAATACCCTCACAAAATTTTGTTAATTTTGCGTACACTATACCTTTTTCAGTTTAAGATGTCCGAAATACAATTTAACATGTCACAATACGAATTTAAGATGTCCGAGTATCAGTTTCAGATGTCACGTTGCTATGTGGATAATACCTTGCACAGTACAGAGTGAAAACCTAGCAACATGACATTTTAAGTTGTTACTCCGACATCTTAAATTCATACTACGACATCTTAAATTGGATTTCGGATATCTTCGACTGAAAAGGTATAGTTGATCAGGTGGGTTACCGAAAATTATTATTCTGAATCAGAACTCCATAGAACACAGTTGTGAAACCCACCGGTTGAACGCAAATGAAGCAATCTACTAGTTACTGTATTTATCAGTGTTTGAGAGTATTTATTTGAACTGCTTTGATGGAACCAAATTAATTTTAGATTAGATTCGTCAACTAAAACAAAGGCTAGTTATGAAACTACTTGTATTGGGACGTTAGATCCTTTTTCTTAATTTTGACTATACACTAATGCTTGATAAACAGCAGTACGGTGAACCGCATCATCACATATGCACCTACTGTTCACTCATAGTTACGGGGCCCAATTGCATGAATGTGGCCACCAATTAGGAGAAAGTAGCGCTTCCCAGCTTGAGTGCTCGGTTGACGGGGGCAGAGTTCATACCTGTGAGCACAACTATCTCAGTTTTCACAACCATTAACCACTCACTAACATCCAATGTTTTCTTTCTACTTTCTTGCAACTTTTCAGGAACCGAGACTGAAACCACTTCCACTTATTCTGCTTTAACGCATTAGAAAATTTAATAACGAGCACTTATTATTTTAATCCACGATATTTCTATTCGTTTTATTATTTTACACGAAAAACATTATTTGCATGCATTTAATTTGGTTAACCAGTCCAGTTCAGTTTGTACAACCATTAACCGTGCACCTTCGTGCAGCGGTATGATATGGGAAGGTGTTTTGCTTTGAAAGTGTTCTAAAATGTAGGTCACATTTAGCCATACAGATCAGGATTTGAATGGAATCAAACGAGTTGTGGCTCTTATATTGCCCCTCAAACTGAAGGTGCTTTCTCTTAAGTCCATGAATAGAGCCTATCTGTTTTCAATCTACCTTAACAACTCACCACGGTTTACCAAAAAAGCTGCGGAATCTCAAAATCAGTGGGCGGATGAAAAAAGAGCAGAGATATACAGAGATCCACAATTTGGTTATATGCAACTAACTTGGAGCTACAAACTGTGCTGTGTTAGGTACGGTCTTCATGCACACAGTTTGGCGTCAGACGTATGTGATATATATATATATATATATATATATATATATGGTCTTCAGCTTTACATTTTCAAATTGACCTCTGATCATCCATCTATTTTGCGGTAGTGGCTAAATGGTTAGATTTTGTATGGCCGCAGCCCCTCTTCCTGAATGTTGACTGTCTAGTTGTATAATCAATGAATGAAGAAGGAAGAATAAAGACAGTTATTATTATTTACTAGAGCATGCCCATCCTCCGGTTCTGCGTTTCCTGTACACATGTTGGATANTCTGGGGTATGGCGGATTATCTGTAGAATTAGCTTCCGTTGATGCTCTTTTCGGTTAAGACTCAAGAGAGCAGGGTTGTCGTTAACGAGAGACACTGAGATAGACGGCTTTGAATAGAATTCAGTGGTGTGAACACCACCCAGTTGGCTTGTTGAAATCCCGTATGCGTACACGTATCAGAATTGCATGGCGACACACAAAAGCATGATCCTTGATGCTCTCAGTAATCAGTTATCATTGGTTTATTCATTCTATTCCATTTCTTTTCCTTTTTTAACGTTGACATCGTAGATCAGTCACGGTGATACTGCAGTATGGATCATCACCGCTCAAATATTGACCAATGTGATTCTTTCATGACAGAGTCATTTTAATAGCCTCATGCACACTTCACATAAATAGTATCGACTTTATCTTTATTTCATTATTTTAGACGGCAGCATTGTGCTCCAACAGTCACAAAATGGTGGATCGTGAACAAAATAACGAGCTAACTCTTATGCTACAACTCACTCTATTGTACGAAATCATGAGTGATGAGAAACAATATTACTGCGTGTATGAAATCAACAGGAAACAGATTCATTGTATTGTCTATAAGAAATGTGAGGTCATAGCGGCAGGGACATGCCCTATCATCGATCAAAGACTTTTGCCTGGCAGCAGTGTTATCTCATCAGTCGAATACATAATGTGGTGTTAGTCACAGCTAGTCTAGGCCGCCGAGAACTGAACTGAACTGTGCCAAATCAGTTGTAAAGTTTTTAGTGGACGGCTACACATTTTCAGAGGCTGTTACAATATTGACAAATGCACAATAAGTGAGAAAGTAGCAGTTAAATCCCACTCTAGTTCCTCCTATTTTCATTCTTTTCCCTTCGGTATAGTGCTCATTCACAAGCCATTGCTAAGTATATACACGTGTGCTTGTGTGTGTGATACGCATGTCACCGACTAGGCTTCCTTGACTTACGAAATTCGCTGAGGCGGGTAGAGATTTTCACGTCAAGCACCGGCCGAGTTGGTCTTTTAGACCTTGTTAGACCTTGTATATATAGAAGCTTTCCGTGATACGTCGGTAACAGTATTATTCGAGCAGCACGTAGAATTCTCGGGCTACTAATTTCCGTTTTGAAAAATGAATTGAATTGATCAGCAGCAGCTTTTTGTGCTTCGAATCCTCATAATTTGAAGTGATATGGCTGGGTGTCGCAAACAATGGCGCTCGTGCATCCACTCGTTATTTTCCTAACACCACTCTTTATGAATTCCCCATCTTCCGCTTGAATTTGCTTTGACATTCCAATCTTCATTTCGCTCTTTTATCCAAATGGGCAACCAAAAGACAGCAACCAAAACCGGCGCACGAAAGTGCATGGTTAATGGTTGTAAAAAACTGAAAACTGAAACTGAATTTGGAGTTGGTTACATCTACAATACCCATGAAACCAGACTATTGCATAAAATAACCTGATTGCAAGTACTAGAAACCAATATGGCATAAAACATTTAAAATGTGTCACCAATATATTATCTCTGATAACGTAACGATTTGACCTCTGCTCCCTGTACCCACGTCTATACAACCTTTCAGTTATTACCGAGCTATTTGGCCGATCTTCCACAGGTGTGTTTAGGCTGCCTGCCCAAAGCCTCTTTGACACATCTGTTAGATCACCTAGTACGGAAGAGATGCATTGACCAATTGCAACGATTTGGTCCGCGTGGTACCCGGGAATATTTGCAAATGGGCTCTGCTCTATTACCGACTTGGCAACAAGCAAACCGTCCGGTGCAATCCCGTGCCAATGGTCTGGTCAGTTCATTCGTGTATGCCAGCCCTTCTGCGACGAATCGGATGCCAATTCGGGCAAGTGTTGTGGTTCGGGGTCACGGGGTCACACTTCACGTACCAGAGCTCAGTAACGTACAGTCTGTGCGAAGACCATCGGGCGATATGCAGGCTCTAGATGGTAATGAAAAGAACGGAACACTCCGTTTCCTCAAACGTGCGCCAAAGAGGCTCCTCACAAACAAAACCATATCCACTAGATACAGTCACTTTTTTGGAACCCCCGTTTCTTCTCGCCCGCGAACCAATGCGCCGCTTGTCGGAGGCCTCGAAGAACAAAGTATTGACGCTCCAGCATCCGAATCATCCTTACCTGGTCCGCGAGCATCATCTAATTTGATAAACGGATTGAAAACCACGGGTGTTACTCCAGTTCATAGAAATCAAATTCCAATAGCAATCTATCCGTCTCACATTCAGACTAATCCATTGAAACCTCACTGTACGAGCATTGATTATCTCAAAATATGTCGCCAGAAGCCGCTGTGCCATGTAAGTGTTCCTGGAACACAAAAGCACAAATGGCAGTTACGAGACTGTTTTAATCACATTCAAATATTGAATGAATACCATCCTCACGTTTTACTCCCTATAAGAACCGGTTTTTTAAAAGTACCCAGTCTAAAGATGACCATTTCTGAAGAAGACACATCAACTCCAGAAGATGTAAGGGACACATCAAATCAGTTCAACTCTTCTCGTTCGAAACCTGAAAAGGAAATATTTCATCAATTAAATGAATCACAGGTACCACGAACTTTCAGAGTCGAATCAAATCTAGAAAACGGATACCTACGTTCCTCCTTGATGAACAATAAAATTTCTCTAACCGGTGAATCACTGATTCCTACTGGAAACGGAACAAAGAACCCTGTCAACATGAAAAGCAGAAGGAGAAAGCAAATGAATCAAAGAAGACTAGGAATTCAGTCACCCGATATCGATCCTTTCTCTACCAATCGCTCCTCGGAGTACGCGCAGAGCTCAAAAAGGGCTGAGATTTCATCGGCTAGCATGCACAATTGCACAAAGCAGCCTTGTACACCACCATACACTCCAATCTGGGGCGTGACATGCAACAATCAGGTCCACGCGAACTACGACTCTGCGGAAAGTATTCTTTCTACACTACTATCAGAGACTACTGTAGATCCCCTGTTCTGCAGGCCACACCCCACACCGGAACTTGTCAGTTGGTCGGGAAATTCGTTGCGGTCCACGAATCGAGCGCTCATAGATGCACTTGCTCTTGAGTGGAATCCACCGTATCGTGCGAGAACACAAAACTCACAACTATTGGAGTTAGTTTTACCGTCAAAGTTGTCTGTACGGAATTATCGCGGCCGTGAAATCGATCCGCATCACATTGATAGTCCGTATATTGTGAGACAAGTTGAGCACATAAGCCCATCTGGAGGCGAATAGACATGAGCTAATAAAGACCGACCATAAGGACAAAAGATCCGGAGAAGCAGAAAAAAAAATGAAGCACAAAATTCTTGTGACATCATAAAAACGAGGACTAATAAAACGTGAATCTGTCTTCAAATTCAATTAATTATGTAGGCCATCTTTGTATTGTCACATTGTAGTGGGACCAGGGGAAATGATTTTGTTTCAGAATCGTTGATCGTTCACCGTTTGAACGTTCTCTTGTTAGGTTACATTTTCCCAGTATCTTACCTGCGCATAATTTATTGGTGTGCATGCGTAACGACCGTGATTGTTATGCAAGCGCAGTATCTCCGATTCGTCCAAGTTATAACCAATGTATCTCACAGTGGTTCACAGTTGGAGAATTCCACTGGCAAAGCTCGATACTTACAGGGTATCTGGAAAGGGTACGAACACCGCAGATCATTTGAAATTGATATTTGAGCATCGAGTACCGAGATATACCTTTATTGGGACAACAGCACAAATCAGTTTTATGAACCCCAAAACAGCCATATTCGTTAGTATTTTCCAAACCACCTTCAAGTAAGATAAATTTTCCGCCTGCCTGCTCAGTTTTCCAGTTTTTGGCTCTGTTATTCTGGCTCAATCTCCCTCTGTTTTGGTCTTCGCATCTCGATTGACGAGCTGCGCAACAGATCCCAAACTGTGGCATATTGATGCAAATAATAAGTCTAGCGATGGCTCACTGGTTTGTCGATTGAGCTGTCATTTACCGTCGTGGTTTGCGTTCAATATAGTCACCAACGTATTTTCCCAGATTCTTACAACCCAATTGTGCCACCGACACAAACACTTTCTTCAAACTTTGAGGCTACAGTCATCTCGAACGTAGCGATCTTGTGCGCTGAAGACTAGTTTCACTCTTCCAGACCACAATATATTCAGCCACTCAATCGAGCCGAT